CCCCAAAACCCCAAAACCCCAAAACCCCTCTCTCCTGAATGACAGTTGAATTAATATGTAAACTCCATAACTGTTGTTAATAAAACTAGCCTAGACAAGGTCTTAGCAGAAGCTGCTGTGAAGTCTTTGGTTGTTGAGCAGGTAGTTCATGTCATTCCTGAGACCTTTCCTTTGTCTCTGGATGTTCGCGTTCTGAAGTCTGTCGATAATTCTCATCTTTTTCATATATATTTTACTGTTCTTTTGGTCGTCTTGTCTTTGGATAATGTCTTCTTGGTCTTTTCTCTCTTTGTTGGCCCTTACTTGGCTCTGGATCTCGTGTTTGAAATTTTCCTTCTCTCGATCGAGGATTTTGTAATAGTTGTAGTCAGGAGTGGTATTTAAACCAACTCCATCACCTTGTAGAATAGATTTGTCATAAGCGTTAGATTCGAGAGGATGTTTAAGGAGATACTTCTTCAGTTTCTCTCTTTTTCTAGTCTTAAGCTTGTGTACTTTTTGGACTGGACATCCACTCATGTTTTTAACAAATTCATTTCCATCACCTCCGTCTAGGTTAGACTTCCTGAGTTGTCTCTTACGCTGATTAGAGAGGTGTTCATAATCATGGCCAAAAGTAGCTGGGTTTTGCATGACCATATTATTTCTATCCTCATATTTGTTGAGCCTCCTGTTCATCATTTCCTGTTCTCTCTTGAAGTGATTGAGCCACATTCATGCCCAGCCATCTCCATTCTGAACTTGCTCAAGGTAGTTTATTGATTTATCTTTAGAGTCAATATCAGAATCATGGCGGCTGATTCTATCATAGTTGTTGTTGCGAATATCAAATGCTGAAAAGGATTGCCTCAGCCCCTTCCTGCTGTTCCTTCGAACCTTGTTTTTCATATTCTTGCTTCTTCTTGAGTCGGTATAGCTCTGGAGAGAAGTCTGGCTGCTTCTTCCACTTTGAGAAACTGGAGTTTCCTTTCTCATATTTTGAGATGCACTATCAGCTCTACTATTTCTTCTACTGCTTCATTTGCTGCTTCTTCTACTTCATTTGCTGCTTCTTCTGCTAGATTTAGGAACACTCTTTTCTGAATATAGTTCTATTTGAGGTTTTTCTTTAGGGAAGCTGTATTGCTCTCCCACTTTATTCTGATTCATTGGTGCTTTTGGAGGCAATTTTTGTCCCAAATTCCTGTCTTCTTCTTTCGATGATCTTACTTTGGACCTACTGTTCTGAGACTGGCTTTTAGAAAGATGTTCTGGTCTTGGACTTTGATGAGCTTCCTCTCTATAGACTTGTTACACATTGTGATAGATAGAAGATATATAAAAATGAAATAATCCTACCCTTCAGCCTTCAATTCAGTGTCTTTTCTCTCAATATTTGCCGCTTTCTTGACTGGCTCAGTGTCAACTGGCCTATTTTGTTTGGTCTCTAATTTTCTTCCTGGAATCGCTGAGTATGATCGCTTTTTCAAATTATTCATATAAACTTGGTTGATGTTGGTACCAATCTCCACATCATAAGTTGTCATATTTTTGATATTCAGGTTGTTATTTCCTATGGCTCCAACCATGAAGAAGAGTCATTTGTTGATCTCTTCTATGCTCCATTAACCTGTCGCAAGAAGCACTATGATTCATTCCAGTCGTTGTTTTGTACATTTGATCCTTTGGTAGGCTTAAATTAGTACTTGGCTCGTAAAATACTGCATTTGATATAAAATTTGGAGAAGTAAATTGGCTATTTCTTTTACCGTTTGGATAAAATGGGCTTCCCACAATACTACTAGAGCCATCATAATACTGATATTTCTGTTGCTCGATTTTGTTCAGCCTATTTTCTACATAAGTTTTGTTCAATGGTCCAGAGGGATTTCCACTCATGGCTTTGGCCATTTGCGAATATGACATATTGTTTCTATTACGGTTCATAACGTTTTAATTTATTAAAATTTTGTAATCCTGCTTCAACAGCTTTTTAATTTCAGGGGTTTTGGGGTTTTGGGGTTTTGGGGTTTTGGGG